ATTCTGTAATTAAACCATTCAACTTTTCTATAAAAAATATATATTTATTTTTAATATTTTAAAACTTTACATTTTAATTTTCGAAACTTTTTATTTAAATGTTATTATGTATCAAGTTAATAATGTAGGGTAGGGAATGTTACTCCATTAAAATATGAAATAAAAATTGTGATAATTATTTGTTAAAAACATAATAAAATGTCGATTTAAAAATTAAAGAATACGTGAATTTTTTTAATAAAAAAAAAGAAATACGCGGCTTTATGCTAAAAAGAAAATTTAAAAAAACGAGGTTCCTTTATGATGATCTCAACAAAATTAAATGCAATTTTTCTTAATTGAAGTTCTTGATCGGTCTTCAAAAAATAGTATACATCAATTTTGTGAAACAATTGTGTTTTTATTGTTCTTCAAAAAAAATTTCTTTGTACAGTAAATTAAATTTAATACGCTATGCAACAACAAAAAAAGTAATAATAAAATATCCTTATTCTCTATTTTCTTTTTGTTGGAACCAAAGAATGAAATAAGAATTTATTCATTAATATAATGATTCAATTTTTTTAAGCCAAAAGTTTGGAAACTCTATTATGGTACATGAAATTGAAAAAGACCCATTCTTATGGACTAAACGATATTAACTTTTACTTGTTGAAAACATGGCAGGTATTCTGCATGTATATTACAGGGCATCTGGAATCAGTATTTCCAGAATAGCATCAGAAAGAAATTCTCCGCTATATATACTATCACCAGGTATACATGTAAATTTCAAGATGCGTTTATCAAGTGTGAAGTAAAGAGAAAGAATTGTAACATTTTCCTGTCAAAATTCTTGTACCATGATGTTTATAATCTGCCCACTGCAACAATGATATAACTTATAGTATCTGTTTGGTTGTTCCATTTAAAGAATGAAGATGGAGGATGGGGACTACATATTGAGGGTCACAGCACCATGTTTTGTACTGCACTGAATTATATATGTATGCGGATTCTTGGAGAAGGACCCAATGGAGGTCATGACAATGCTTGTGCTAGGGCAAGAAAGTGGATTCAAGATCATGGAAGTGTAACACACATACCTTCATGGGGGAAAACTTGGCTTTCGGTATTTTTTTTTCTTTTTTCTTTTACATAAATATGAATACAAAAACTAATAAAACTATAATTAAGGTATTTACTGAAACAAATGGGTCTTACTACTTTTGCAGATACTTGGTGTATTTGATTGGTGTGGAAGTAACCCAATGCCTCCAGAGTTTTGGATCCTTCCTTCCTTTCTTCCTATGCATCCGGGTAGAGTTGATTTTATAATTTTGTCACTCTTCAGTATAGATTTTGTTGAATCATTAACTTTCATTCTTAATTATTGCAGCTAAGATGTGGTGTTACTGTCGATTGGTGTACATGCCTATGTCTTACTTATATGGAAAGAGGTTTGTTGGTCCAATTACGCCTCTCATTTTACAATTGAGAGAAGAACTATTTACAGAACCCTATGAAAAAGTTAACTGGAAGAAAGCTCGTCACCAATGTGCAAAGGTGAAAAACACTATCTTTAATTATTAACCATTTATCGAGTCTTGTCTTGAGTAAGAATTAGTAATTTTGTATTCTATGAATAATCGCAGGAAGATCTGTACTATCCTCATCCTTTGATACAAGATCTAATATGGGACAGTTTATACATATTTACGGAGCCATTACTAACTCGTTGGCCTTTCAACAAGCTGGTTAGAGAAAAAGCTCTTCAGGTGACAATGAAACATATTCATTACGAAGATGAGACCAGTCGATACATTACCATTGGTTGCGTGGAAAAGGTTAGGATCACTATTAAAAGAGTGCATTTCAAATTTTGTCCTTACAATTCAAAAGAAAAAGCCATTCAAATATATATGTCACCAACATTTATACATTTTTCAGGTTTTATGCATGCTTGCTTGTTGGGTGGAAGATCCAAATGGAGATGCTTTCAAGAAGCATCTTGCAAGGGTGCCAGATTACTTGTGGATGTCTGAAGATGGAATGACCATGCAGGTACTCACCTGTGCATGCACTTTCTTAACCAAAACCAGTGCATTAATTAATTTTGATTGATTAATGCACCTGTCTATATAACGCAGAGTTTTGGCAGTCAAGAATGGGATGCTGGTTTTGCAGTTCAAGCTTTGCTTGCCACTAACCTAGTTGAGGAAATTGGTCCAGCACTAGCAAAAGGGCATTATTTCATTAAGGAGTCTCAGGTTTGCTTAATTTTTACTTTAAGTATATGGAGGAATCACGACTTTACCTTCCTTTAGTTATGGAGGGTAAATTCTACAATGAATCTACTTTAATCCAAATTATATTCTTGTTTCGTAGGTAAGGGATAACCCTTTTGGAGATTTCAAGGGTATGTATCGTCATATTTCAAAAGGATCTTGGACATTCTCTGATCAAGACCATGGATGGCAAGTTTCTGATTGCACAGCGGAAGGCTTGAAGGTAACTAATAACTTAATCTAAATATTCATCAATGATCACAACAAATATATCTTAATCTGGCTAAACTCTCTGTGTTTTAGTGTTGTCTACTTCTATCCATGTTGCCACCAGAGATTGTGGGAGAAAAGATGGAACCCCAAAGGTTATATGATTCAGTCAATGTCCTATTGTCTCTTCAGGCAAGTATACCAAGAAATGATATTCGTGAAATGTGTTTCCTACCGTGTAATATACTCTTCTCTTAAAGACTTATATTTGAATCAACAATTTTTTTTTCTTTTGATATTACAGAGTAAAAAGGGTGGTTTAGCTGCATGGGAGCCTCCGGGAGCTCAAGATTGGTTAGAAGTAAGTATTAGATGAATTAATGATGCAAACGTATTTAATCATTATTTGATTAAATAAAGTGATTGAGTGTCTGGTTAATTTCCAGTTACTGAATCCGACGGAATTTTTTGCGGACATTGTGGTTGAACACGAATACGTTGAGTGCACTGGATCTGCAATTCAAGCTTTAGTTTTGTTCAAGAAGTTGTATCCAGGGCATAGGAAGAAAGAGATAGAGAATTTCATAATCAACGCAGTTCGATTCCTGGAAAATACACAAACAGGTGATGGTTCGTGGTACGGAAATTGGGGAGTTTGCTTCACTTACGGTTCTTGGTTCGCTCTTGGAGGTCTATCAGCTGCTGGCAAGACTTACACCAATTGTGCTGCTATTCGTAAAGCCGTTAAATTTCTGCTCACAACACAGAGGGAGGACGGTGGATGGGGGGAGAGTTATCTTTCAAGCCCAAAAAAGGTTTCTAATTCAATGCTCTTACTCAATAACTCTTCTTCAACTTCATCATCACTCCACAATCATAACATTACTAAATGAAAATAATGTAGATTTATGTACCGCTAGAAGGAAGTCGATCAAATGTTGTTCATACAGCATGGGCTCTCATGGGACTCATTCATGCTGGACAGGTTTGCTCTCCAGTACTGTGTTTTTTTTAATCGTTAATGCTTTTTTTTTTATGTTCTAATTGTCATCAAATCTTGTAATATGTTTCTCTCTTGGTTTTCAAATTGCTATATACAGGCAGACAGAGATCCTACTCCTCTTCATCGTGCTGCAAAGTTGCTCATCAATTCTCAGTTGGAAGAGGGTGATTGGCCCCAACAGGTGCATATCAATCCTTTGATGTTGAAAAAGTCTCGTATATTATTGATTGTAGTTGATAAACAATATGAAAAATGATGCTCCCTGATTGTGTTTGGATTTCTAATGGTTGGTTTTGAATTTCGGCAGGAAATCACTGGAGTATTCATGAAAAATTGCATGTTGCATTATCCAATGTACAGAGATATTTATCCAATGTGGGCTTTAGCTGAATATCGTAGACGAGTTTCGTTGCCTTCCGATTAAGCATAAAAAAGACATTCATATCGATGAAGACTGTGGCAAGTAAAATCAAAGAGTTGCGCAATCAGGCTTAATCAATTTTCTCCTTGGCACAATTTTTTATTTCATGTTGGTTTGAATATGTATAGATGCTCTTCAATGTTCCTCCTACGATGCAAACATAAATTTATTACAATAATGTGCATCTACCATCAGAGGGCTATGAAGAACATAAAAATGTCACTAAGGTAATTCATTTTTCATTCATGCCCAATAAATAAAGCAGAGCCTACATTAACTACGCCATCCTCTACAAATAACATTATATAAATTCAAAATATATTTTTAATAAAATAATACATTTCAGATTATCCAATACAAATGTATGTTTGAATTTAATTCAATACATAATGTTATTGAGATAATTCATTTTTTTATTAATGCCCAAGTTTTCAAAGTTAGAACTGTCCCTGTGAAAATCATATATTTTCATTTATTTATGGATGTTCAACTTTTTAGTTCTAAAATAAAGGTCTAATCGCTTATTTTGCTTTTATTGATATTATGGCCATTCTCGTCACCTTCCAATGTAAAATCATATCATAGTCATAAAATATTCTTTGTAAGTTTCAATTTTTTTTCATTATGAGACTAAAAAAAATTGAACGATTTGTCAAAAAGTTAAGTTTCTTAAACTGGTTAATTACATCATAATTTCTAATTGTATATATTCTTTCAAGAACACGCTTTGCCATATATATTGACTAAAAATACTAGAAACGCCTATTAATAAAATGAACAATATTTTTTTACATTAAATAGAGTGTAGCTGGCGAGTGACGACGAATGCATACGCAATTGATTATTGAATCGGAGTCTAAAGAAGTTAGTAGACGAAGAAGCCGATGTTTGCTAAGTTTGGTTCGTTTATCCTTTTGGACGTTTGACTCGGTTGCAGGATTTGCCTAGTTGATGTTAGCTAGGCATGACACTAGTTTTGCTTTTGGGCCTTTGTTTCAAACACAGACAAACAATAATATTTGGGACCCAGCACGCCTATTTTTGAAGAAAAAAATAAGTTTATTTTTTTTTGTTGGCCCATAATAGGAGGAGAAGAAGAAGAAATTTGTGGTTGACTATCCATGAAATGGGGAGATGGTTTTCTAGAAATGGTTTTCCAGAAATGGTTTTCCAGTTTGGGATATGCAGACTTTTATTATTAACCATGGAATGTTGAAGAGCAAGAAACGTTGAATAACTATGCAGATGAAAGAGTAATTGGGAAAAAAGTTGCAGAGTTGAGGGAAAAGAAAAGAAGAATAAATAGATAGATAAATGTGGCTTCCAGGTGCAAAGGAATCAATAATTCAAGGTAGAGGAAAAGGAAATGGATTGGTGGCAGTTGCTGTAGAAAAAGATAAAAAAGGGAGCAGACAGGCTCTCAAATGGGCTGCTGACACGCTTCTTTCCAGAGGCCAAACTCTTGTTCTCATCCACGTCTTGCACACAACCTCCTCACCTTTTACCAGTAATTCACCAACCAACATAAACATGAATATATGTAACTGTAATAATCATTCATTCAACCTACTTCTCACTTTTCAAATGTATACATTATTAGGAGGCATGCGCAGCACCAACTGGCCAATTACATCTCCCAAGAAAGACAAACTAGTCAACGTTACAAAGGATCTATTTGAAACCTTTCATTGTTATTGTTCACGCAAAGATGTATGTATGTATGAATGTATAGATGTCTATAAAAAACCAGTTTATTTATTCTTTTGAAATTGTTTACAGATGCTAAATATTTAATTTATCAGATACACTGTCTTGATGTCGTTCTCCAAGATATGGATGTGGTGAAAGGAATAACTGAATATGTCTATTATGCTGCAATTGAGAACTTGGTGGTTGGTGCAGCCTCTAGGCATGGCTTTATTAGGTAAGGTCCGACAGAGTTACCTATTCTGATTTCCAACAATAGTGGACAGGACAAGGGCAATCTAATATGTACGCATGTATGTATTGTGATTAATGCATACTCATCTCTGTTCAACTAAATGCAGATTCAAGACAAGTACACCAAGCAGCATATTAAAGGGAGCCCCGGATTTCTGTAGTGTGTATGTCATTTCTAAGGGGAGAATATCTTCAGTTAGGAGTGCTGCTCGAAGGGCTCCACATGCCTCCCCACTGCAGAGGCAAATAGAAACTCTAAATGATGAGAATGGAAGTGAATATGATACACCCTCCTGTAGACGGTTGAGCTTCAAAAGTTTGTTTCTTCAAACTAATCTTGTTTTGGTTATCACGTTTAGGTGAAATCGTTCTGATGAAATCACATATTTTGATACATGTTTTAACTTCAGGCAACAGGGTATCACCCAAACCCATAGGCTTGCAAAGTGAATCCATGAAGTAGGTTTCCTCTTGAAGCCATTTCATACGACAATGAGATTATTTATGACACAGTGATATTAACTTAAATATTTTCTTGTCCAATCGATGATTGAAGCAAGATACAATCAGGCAGAAGATCAGGGACGATTGGAAGGTTATCCATGGATTTCGCCGAACATGACTCTGACATATCGTTTGTAAGCTCTGACAGGCCCAGCAGTGTGCGTTCATCCTCTGTTTTCTATGACCATGTTGAATGTGCCAGAAATGGCCGAACTTCAACCAGTTCAGACCATAGCTGGGGGTCAACATACATGAAACCGAAGCTCACCGAGCCCTGTTCACCGGACCAATTATTTTTAGAGGAAAGTAGCCGCCCATCACTTTACAGTTTGCAACACAATGTGAGCACTTTCCTGTTTTGATCAACTATGTATAGAATGGAATAGGAAGCGATGTTTTATTTGTTGGATATTGAGAATCCTGCAACTAACACACATTGTGAACGAAGTATGTATTAGAGGTGATGGTTAATACTTGTTCAGGACGAAGTGGAAGCTGATGTGAGGAGGTTGAGGCTGGAGTTAAAGCAAACAATGGAAATGTACAGTAATGCATGCAAAGAGGCCCTAACAGCGCAGCAGAAGGTAAGTGCATACGGTAATGATGTTATTTAGATTAGGGAAATAGAGAGAATAACGGTGTATGGTACAGTTACTGGAACTGCACAACTGGAGAATTGAGGAAGAAAAGAAACTAGAGGATGCACGGGTAAACCAGGAAGCAGCAGAGGAAATTGCAGAGAAAGAGAAAGAAAAACGTAAAGCAGCTAAGGAAACAGCAGAAATGGCAAAGAGACTTGCAAGGCTGGAAACAAAGAGAAGAGCAAACGTGGAAGGGAAATATCTGAAAGAAGCAGAGGAAATGAGGAAAGCGTTGAAAAATCTACAAGAGACGGATAAAAGATACAGGAAATACACATTGGAGGAGATTGAAAAGGCAACAAACGAGTTTTCTGAAGCACAGAAAATAGGGGAAGGGGGATATGGTCCCGTGTACAAGTGTTACCTCGATCACACAGCAGTGGCAGTGAAGGTTCTGCGAGCAGGATCAGCACAGGGGGAGACACAATTTCAGCAAGAACTGAACATACTCGGGGCCATAAGACATCCCAACATGGTGCTTCTGGTAGGAGCGTGTCCGGAAGAGGGAGTGCTGATATACGAATACATGGAGAATGGAAGCTTGGAAGACTGTCTGTTCGGAAAGAAGGAGGAGATGAAGAGTTGGGAGTTGAGGTTTGAAATAGCGGCGGAGATAGCGACGGGGCTGCTGTTCCTGCATCAGACAAAGCCAGAACCACTGGTGCACAGAGACCTGAAGCCCGCAAATATATTGCTGGATCACAACTATGTGAGCAAGATAAGCGACGTGGGACTGGCCAGGCTTCTGCCTGCAGCGGTGGCGGAGAACGAGACGCAGTGTCGAATGACTGCCGCAGCAGGAACCTTCTGCTACATCGATCCCGAGTACCAGCAGACCGGAATGCTGGGAGTTAAGTCGGATGTGTATTCTCTGGGAATCGTTATTCTTCAGCTATTGACGGGAAGGCCCGCCATGGGCCTGGCCCACCAGGTCGAACAATCCATCCAGAAGGAGACCTTTGCCCAGATTCTGGACCCATCCGTCCCGAACTGGCCCCTCACAGAGGCCCTCTCCCTTGCCAACTTGGCGCTCCAGTGCGCGCAGCTCAGCCGGAAGGACCGCCCTGACCTTGCCACCTTCCTCCTCCCTCAGCTCCAAATTCTCAGAGACTTTGCTCGCCACCACCATCAACAGCCTCCCCAGGAACAGGAAGTCCTCAGCGAGCCCAATTCTCAACACTCCGGAAGCCCATCGACCCCTTCCCCCTCGTCAACCCCAACAGAAGACCAACCCATACAAGGTAACTACACTTTTACACTTCTCAACACTAAAAATAAATGCTTTTTAAATCTATTTATTTATTTTAAATTATTTTTATATTTTAAAATAAAAATATTATTTTTATACCAATTTGATGAATATTAAATAAAAAATTACGCGTTTCTGTATCAACTTTTCAATTTTACAATCTGATGTCTCAAGGTTATGAAAAACACGCAAATATTTGGAGACTTGAGATCATTACCGATATCTGAACTCCTCCCATTGAATTGCATACAACAGCAGAAATGATAGATTTATAAATTTTTTACAAATATTATCATTTTTTACTTCCTTAAAAAAATAGAAAAAAATTATTTTATTATGAATATTTTAGTTTTGTAACTATTTTATCTTTATACTATATATTTTTTTATAATTATTTTATTTTTATAATTTATCTCAAATTTAAATATATGTCATTTTATTATTATTTTATTAACAAATATTTGCTCACTTTTAACAATTTTAGTTGCATTTTAATCTTTAGCGATCAATTTTACGTGTTCTTCAATACATCATGTTGCTGCAAACTTGGTTATTGCTTTAAAAGTTGTCGTCATACTCTTTGAAAGTGAGCAAATTAAAAACATCTAAGAGTATAATTATAAGATAAAAAAAAACTATGTAATTCAAGTAACAATGTTAACTTATCATTAAAAAACTAAGGTTCACAACTCAATTTATTCCTTTTGTCTCTTTTTTGTTTCCTGTTTATTTTTCTTCAAGTATTGTTGTCATTTCTCTGTCTAATTCTTTTACTCCTGTTTTGAAATTACCTTCTTTTTCCAGATGATACCACCTAGCCAAGTGTATAAACGGTTTCTAAATTGTTAGAATTCAATTTAGAGTAAGTTGTTAGTGCTTTAAAATCTCATTATTATTAATTCTTTAATTTTAAAACCATACTTTTTATTTTATTGTTTTAAAAATGTCATATTTCAACTTATTTGTTTTGGTTGATTTAGTGATATTTCATTAGGTTTGCAGAAGCCTTTGGGTGGATTTTCAACTCTTTTTTCCTTACTGTCTGGGACACAAGCAACCTTTTGGGTAAGCACGTATGCGTATTATTATGTATCCATTGATGCTCAGGTTTTTAGAGATATATAGTGTTTTGAAATGAATGAGATAGGTTTTTATTAGCATGGTTCGATTTTGTTTGACTAAGTTTTGTCTGTTTGTGTATTAATGCTTGATAGTTTGTCTTTCTTGTGTAGTTTTCTGCTGTGATTAAATTTGATAAATGAGCAGAAGACATTTCAAGTTCAAGAGACAATTTTGGACAAAGCTAGGAAGTGTTTGTTGCAGATGTATATTTCGATATATATTTTCTTATATAAAACTTTGTTTTGTATAAACTCTTTGCTGGATATATTATAACTGAATTTTATATATATGTGTGTAAATAGTGAAATACAAATGTTATTGGATTTATATTTGTCATATGTGTTATTACAATTTATATTTTATATCAATTTATAAAGTATTATTTTTAATATTTAAAATGATTTCAACAATATTTCTTATATGAATTCTTAGTGGTATTTATTTAGATGTTTTTTTATTATAATTAATTTATCAAAATAAAGTAATTAACAGAAAACATTATCGGTTAAATAATTTTTAGAGTATGATTTTTTTATTCATGTTTTTATATTTAATTAGATAAAATCTCAGAGATTCTATTTGTATTAAATAATGGACATAAACAATTATAACAAATTATAAACATAGTCTATTATTTCATCAATTTAATTAATTGATTTTTTTACAACCTAACTAAATTGTATATTAAAGTTCATTTATTTTTCTTTTTCTTTTTGTGATCAAAGATCTTCCAAAACAATTTTTTTGGCTCGAGACATTTTCCATACACTAAGACGTCAAAGAACGTATTTTCTTTCTCATATAAAAATTACAAGCAATAATAATAGTGATTTGTATTAACACTAATTATTTAATTCCATTAATATAAATTGTATAATTCACATACACAATTAAATTAACATAAATAATAGTCATTTACATAAACAAAAGAATAATAAAACATGGTGTAAAGAGAATAAATAACATAATATTTTTTACAAAACAATTTTATTTTCTTTAAAAAGTTACAACAAAACCTAACATATCATATAATAAAATTAAAGCATGATTTATTACCAACATACGACAAATAGTCTCCTGATTTACTAGTTACAGCAAGTAGATCATCTCTCATGTCTCATACTCATTGATCAACCACACAACTTTGTGTATTACATCACCCATTCATGTTCCATTACCAATTAAAAGTGAAACCTGACCCTAAACACATCAACTATTCTCATTCCCTATTCAACATCATGATCATCCTTGAAGCTTGTCCCTCCTCCATTCTTCCCAAAAATACAATTTTCCACCAAAAATACACTGAAATAATCAATTATCACCTTATGATAATCGATTATTCTAGATAACTACAATACCCTATATAACGTATGAAAAGATAATCGATTATCATAAAAAAAATAATCAATTATTTCAGTGAGAAACTAAAAACCGATGCGCAAATAATCAATTATCACTTAAGATAATCGATTATTATTGAATCCAAACTCATTCGGGACAAACATCAAGTATTCAACACACACAAACATCATCCTACGAGAAAACATATTTAACACATTATACATGCATTCAAGTCTCACATACCCTTGTAAATAGACTCAAATACATAGATTACATCATTTAAATAATCAAAAACTCATCATTATCCAAATTACAACCCAAACAAACCCAACATATTGCATATGATCATGATATCACCCTTTACAACATACATTTGCATGGTAAATCTCCCAAACCACATACATTTGTCCCCTCTTGACATTAATACATATTATCGTGAGAAACCAAACAAAGTCACACTAGTGGGAAAAAAACATTCTATGACGGCCTATTATGACGGGTGAAAATCACCCATCATAATAGGTTGATCGATGGCAAAATTGTAATAAACGTAAGACATATTATGACGAAGTTTTGCAAACCAGTCATAATAGGCAACGCGGTAGCAAAGTTGTAAATAATTTCAAAACATATTATGACGAAGTTATGAATATCAATCATAATATAGAACGTAGTGGCAAACTTGTAAATAAGTTAAAAACGTATTATACGTAATTTTGGACAACTGTTATAATACATGATAAGGGTAGAAAATTTTGATAATGTGTTATGACAGATTTTGAAAAATCAGTCATAATATCTCTTTCCCATTTCCCCAACAGTGCGGACAAGCCCTAATTTCTTGTTACCGAAACCCTCTTCCCTCGTCAAAACCATATCCACATTCCCCTTCCTCTCATAGGAGCCTCAACTGGCCGATCCCGCTCCTCTCCCTCCCAACCCCGCCTCCGGCAACCCTTTCTTCCACCAAAATTGGCGCACCCCTGGCCGCTCCTCTCATCCCTCCGACCACCCGATCGCTCCAATTACAACAAAACGTAACATATCATATAATCAAAATACAACATGATTAATTTACTATATAAATTTTTTTCTCCAAATGATAACTACAATATATAATAACTAAACTTATTGCATATTCTACAAATATTTTTCTCCAATTAATTTCCCTTTTAAATTACATGTATTTTTTTTATTTCTTACTATAATTTTCATTTTAATAGTGTTTAACTACTAAAGAAATCATCACACATCTAATATGAAGAACACATACTCAGAGAAATACATATAATATGCTATTATAGTTCTCCTAAAATATAATTATAACATTATATATATATATATATATATATATATATATATTAAGTCTTATAATACCAAGACTATCATTACACTAAAACTAAGAATGTAATGTGATCTTTCAAAACAGTTTAGAAATAAAAGAACATTTTCCTACTTTATGTTTCAGCTCCATCATTACGTAGAACCTATTTGACAGAACACTCTCATCTACTCACTCCATTAAGGTGTTCACTGTAAACAAGAAAACCAACATAACACAAATACACAAATAGAAGAGTAAGCTAATGTACTAAAATTTTAGAATATAACACATTCATAATGTACAAGTTTATCAACTATGCGTTGTTAAACATTCATAATGTACAAGTTTATCAATTATGCTGGTTAAACATATCACAAATTCATACTCCACACAAATAATTGACACCAACTCAATTATCCGGATACATGTTTTTAACATAGGGTTTCAACGTAGGTGTCCACTTGTAGTAGTATTTATACTCTACAGAGCCATAAAAAAAAGGGTTGTCTCCTTATCACCTACAAGGTTAGTCTCCTTCGCGCTTAGTATCCAAACCAGTGTCCATAGACTAAGACCTTCATCCACTCTCACCACATGACTCATTCTACTATGTGTCAATGCATGCATACAACTTTACCACATCACAAAATTTCTCCTTAAAATTCTATTCATCACATACTTGATACATACATACAATTATTAATGTCAAACTAAATTATTAGACATGCATTATAATATAACAAAGCATAAACAACATTAAAAAGTGGTAGTTGGCTTTCCTTATATTTTAAAGGACCAAATTGCACTATAAGTACTAGGACAATTCCATAAGCTTAAGGAACTCTATTTGCTCTTAAAAACCACAAATGAGAACATATTGTTAATACTATTGATAAACAAAGAATCTTGTAAAAGACTCATATGACATATGCAAGGGACAATATCTCACTTGCAGAAGGGAAAGATGCTCAAACTAGAAAAAATGACGGAAATTAACTTCTTCTTTTTCAAGAACTGATCGGATATACTTGAAGACCTCGTCTTAGACGCTCTTTGATATTCACTCAAATTCTATTTATACATATTTAAATTTTTAATATTAAAATATGTGAGTCGTATAGTTTAGAACATACTATTACTTTTAATACACTATTTTTTTTATGTTGTTACATTTACTTTTTATATCCATTTTCATGTACGAATATTTCTCTAAATATATTTCATATTTCATATCTAATAAAATCAAATCATAATAATATCAATATATATATATATATATATATATATATATATATATATATATATAAAATCTAGTGCATGAAAACTAAAATATATTTACTTTATTTTTTAAAAAATTACATCATAAAAGTCGAACAATATCTCATCAAAGAATATTACCATTAATTAGCTATTTATATTTAAAAATAAAAATTATAT